CTCAATCTGGACGCCAGTTCCGACTTACATACAGATTCAACTTAAGAACAAACCTACAGTCCCTATCTTGTACGTAACCCGGGGACTGCCTGTAGTTATAAAATGAATTGTTAAATTATTGAATATGGAAGAAATTAGACGATAATACTTTGTTGCATTTGTGTCACCCCTTGTTTTAAATTACTTTTTTTTAAATAGACACAAATATTAATGCTTGTATTTTTGAAAGTTCATGAATGCATCATTAATTTTTATTCCTGTTCTAAATGGTGGCACCAATATCTGCAGAATTCTGTTTGTTCTTAACCTACTCAGGGACTCTAGTGAGTTGTTTTGCATTGCATTAACACACAAGAATGTTAATTAACATCAAAAGCACATAAATTGGTCTTTTAAGCCTGTGGCAATTTTTAATAATGCATATTATTTTTTTAAAGAGCTACTTGTTAAACATAGCCAATGCCTCTTGTACAAAGTGACATTAAGCCTAAATGATGTGGCAGAGCCCGAAAAATATATTGTGGGGGCAAGAAGAGCAAAGAAACTCTCTTTAAAATCCCTAACAGTGGACTTCTGCTCCAAATCTTCTTCCTGCAACTAATCTGGAGGATAGGATCATAATTCAAAATGATCTGGACAAATTGGAGAAATGGTCTGAGGTAAACAGGATAAGGTTTAATAAAGACAAATGCAAAGTGCTCCACTTAGGAAGGAACAATCAGTTTCACACATACAGAATGGGAAGCAACTGTCTAGAAAGGAGTACGACAGAAAGGGATCTAGGGGTTATAGTGTTCCACAAGCTGAATATGAGTCAGCAGTGTGATGCTGTTGCAAAGAAAGCAAACATGATTCTGGGATGCATTAACAGGTGTGTTGTGAGCAAGACAAGAAATCATTCTTCCGCTCTACTCTGCGCTGGTTAGGCCTCAGTTGGAGTATTGTCCAGTTCTGGACACCGCATTTCAAGAAAGATATGGAGAAATTGGAGAGGATCCAGAGAAAAACAACAAGAATGATTAAAGGTCTAGAGAACATGACCTATGAAGGAAGGATGAAAGATTTGGGCTTGTTTAGTTTAGAAAAGAGAAGACTGAGGGGGGACATGATAACAGTTTTCATGTATCTAAAAGGGTGTCATAAGGAAGAGGGAAAAAAACGTATTTATCTTGGCATCTGAAGATAGAACAAGAAGCAATGGGCTTAAACTGCAGCAAGACAAGTTTAGGTTGGAGGTTAGGAAAAAGTTCCTAACTGTCAGGGTGGTTAAATACTGGAATAAATTGCCCAGGGAGGTTATGGAATCTCCATCTGTGGAGATATTTATGAGTAGGTTAGATAAATGTCTATCAGGGATGGTCTAGACAGTACTTGGTCCTGCCATGAGGGCAGGGGGCTGGACTTGATGACCTCTTGAGGTCCCTTCCAGTCCTAGTATTCTATGATCAGGGAGGATATAGGGCAGGGCGAGCAAGGTGGCCGCCCCGTGCCCCACACTTCAAGAAGCCTGACTCCACCACCGTGGCAAAGGGGGGCCCCGTGAAATGGTCATCTGCCTCTCTCTGTGATTCCTGTCACAGACCAAAGCTATCTCAACCTGTCACACTCCCCAGTGTTTCAGCTGTAGGGTGTTAAGTTTCTTTTCATCTGTAAATGGCATGTAGCAAGCAAAAAGTAAAAGATTAGAGGAGGGTCACGAGAATCCCAAATGGTCAGAGTTAGGCCTAAGGCTGCTGCAGGAAATGTTTGCCCAAGCAGAGTTTCGGGTCCGTTGGAGCTTAGTGTAGATACATTGCCTGCTCTTAGAACTCTCAAGGGAAAAACAGCCCAACTTAACAAGTCCTCTTTCTCTTCCTGCCAAACTGTCATGGTTCCATTGTGACAGAGCTCCTAAGATGCACAGGAGGTAAACATGTTAAATGCAAATTGCTCTACAGATGGATGAGTGCAAATATAAATGTGCAAGACAAATCACAAGTTACTGTATTATTCAGTGAGTAGGAGAAACCTGGAAAGCTATAATTCTGGCACAGACCTAGAGATGATATTGGAGAGCAAACTAGATAAAACCTTAGGTGTGTTTGAAAATTCAGTCTTCAAGATTGTACAGGCATATATAGAAACAAAAATAGATCAATGTGATTTGGAGCTATATAACCAGAAGTATGAAAAATAAATGCATAATATTTATAAGCGTTAAAGATATGCTTGGAATATGATATTCTGTTTGCATATTTTACAAAGTTTTGAAGCATATAAATGACAATGATAAAGGGAAGTATGGTTTGTGGTAGTAATGGGATGAATAAAAATGGGAAAATGATCTTGAACATCAAGGAAAAATATTCCTGAAAGCAAGATCCATAGAAGTATTAAATAGTCAGTTAAGTAAAGTGAAGGAAGCCCTTTCTTTTGGGGCATTTAATCTTAAACGTAGCCCAAAAAACCTAGAAAATGTATTGTAGAAAACAAAGCTACATTGACAAGAGACTAGATGATCTAAATATCTTTTCTATCTCTCAGTGAAACTTTCCATTTTGTGCTTACTTTATTGGATTTTGCACACATTGCTTCACATTTATAGATTTATGATTAAAATTATTTACTCTGTGGGAACACAGGAAACATCCTGGGTTTTGTAAATATTCTAGGCATTCTAATACTGGAGTCAAACTTAAGTTGCCATGGCATACCTGTGCAAGCTGAAATTCCCTATTTAGGAAGAGAAAAGGTGACTCCTATTTACCATATACAGAAGTTAGAGCTGAGAGGATTATATAGTATTCCACTAGACATTGTGCTTCTGAGATTCATAACCCTTATTGTATTGTTTCTGATATATATAATAGTTCTGTGCTGCCTAATTTTTGCATACATAATTCAAGGCTAAAAGATTTAATTGTTTCAGACTTCTACTTTTGAACACCCTCTCCCCCATAATGCTTTGCTAAGATTTATATTTGTTAACTATGCATCCATTTTTCAGAGGTATCCTGGAAAAACTCTTTACCCCATACCCATACTGAGAGAAGGGGTGGGCATACTTGAGAAAAAGTGGACAGGCTAGGGACCTGGAATGAAACATGCATTCAGATGTAGATTCTTCTAATGAATTTTATTAATGAGAGAAGCCATTTAGATAAATCATCTTTTTATTAACATTTTCTCATTTTATAAATTTAAATTCAGTTACTAGAAATAAGGTGGCCTACGTTTTAAAGAACACATTATCTTATGGACTTTTTTCTGTTGGAAATTACCACAATACGAGGACGACAGTGTATATTTGTGTTTTGTTATATCAGAGTTAACACAATCTCTAATGATCTGTGGTATACTTTCAGTTGAAAAATTTAAGATGTTTAAAATATAAAAATATTTTATTCTGTATACATTGAATTATTTTGTCATCCTATATATACAGATTTGGTCCCAGAGACTATAACAAAATATCACAATTTAAAATTTTCACAAGGTGACCGTTACAGAGATTCCACTTTCAGAGAGTCAAAATTTGTAAATCTTTTGTATCATCTTCAGTCTCATCTTCCTTGTTATCTTCCTTGCTTAAAAACATCTGCTAACTCCTGCATGACTCATCCATGGAATCACAAAGGAAATCCATCTGCAGGCTGCGTGAGCAAAATATGAAAATAATTGTTGATTCTTTTTCTCCAACAATAGAAACCTAGTATTCCCTGATGTCAGTTTTTGATACGGAGTGCGAAGCACTGGCACTGAATTTAAGCCCAGTTAGAACTTTGTTTCTTTCTACATCATAGCAATAAACTTTGATTTGATATAAATTTAGTTTGGTCCAGCCTGGAGTCCACTACTTCATCCAAATTCGCTCCCAGAACCCACATCTCAATACTTTGGCAGGCGAGTGTGTGTGCAGAAGGAAGCAGGCTGAAGCAGAGTGTTGCATGCAGGACAGGGTGAGGACTGTAGGCTCTGGGAGTTTGGGGTCTCGCTCAGTGGATAGGGATTAACGCTGCCATCAGGAAACACTAAAGGTGGCTCCCAGTTGGCAGTGCAGAGGGGCTCAGGCAAGCTGCCTCTCTGCCTGGCCCCATGCTACTTCTGGAAATGCTGGCTGAGTTTAGGCACCCTCTGTGTGCAGCCCCTGAAGAGGGAAGAAGGTCTCCACATGCTGCACTGCTGCCTGGAGCCAAAAAGGGTGTATCACGTTGGCCAGCTCCCAGCCAATGGATGCTGCTTTGGCAGTCCTGAAATCAGACATAACGTCGACACAACTCAGCAGTTTTGTTGACACTGGTAAACCTCATTTTACGAGGCATAACGTCTTCTGTCGACAGAGTTTCTGTCCTTTGCGTCTACACTACTATGTCGACAAAGCAAGCTGCTTTGTCGACAGAACTGAATGTAGTGTAGACGCTCTTTGTCGACAGTATCTGTCGACAAAACTTCTGTCGACAAAAGCCTGTAGTCTAGACGTACCCTATAATTGCCCATGTTCAAGATATTGACCCTTCACACAAGCCTCCATGTTCTGGTCTTTCCTGTGGACTTTTGTCTCAAAGATATTCATCCCATTCCTGGCTAAGTGAGCTGCATCTCCGCTCATCAGTCCTTCTTGGGACAGCATCTCAGAATCAAGAAACCTGATGCTGTCTCAGTGACATGCACTTTCTTTCTGTGCAACCATATACATGAGAGAAAAAAAAAGACTGAGTTGTGCAATATTCTGTCACTTTCAGTTTTGGTCTGTGATCTCATTGACTTTCTACTATTCACTTCACTGTAAGCAGAATTATACCATAATTGAACACTTCTGAAAATCCCATCATTAGACTCTAAAAGATGCATCGATTTGTTTGAACATGTAAAGTCATCAAGTTAAAATTAAGGGTCCCCACAAAACAAACGTATTTTCAGTTTTAGTGCCCAAAAGAAAATTAGGCTCAGTGAATGTAATACAGAATTATCTGGCTTTACTTCTTTGTTTTCTAAGTTTCATATTTTTTCCTATTTTTCAGTGTGTTGTATTTGCTATGACTTCTGGTCAAATGTGGAATCATATCCGGGGACCTCCATATGCTCATAAGAATCCTCAGAATGGACAAGTGGTGAGTGAATTTTTTGTATCAGTATCTAAATTGACTTTATTGCTGCAGAGTTCTGCAAATCTAAAGAACAATGGGATAAAAGATCAAGATCGCAATTCAGAAAATTGGAATACTGGAGTTCAACAGTTAAATTTTCAAAAGCACTGTGTGCCCAACAGCTCTTCTTTGGGCACCTAATTAAATACCATGTCTTCAAAACATCTTAACTCCTAAAGAAAATGGTTGGATTTTCAAAGGCACTCAATACCACATAGCTCCTGCTGATCACAAATACATAAGCATTATACTTTTTGTAAGCATTTGCTAACTAATAAGATGAATAGGTAAAAGTTCAGACTGGTTTACATTTTCTTCAAACTTAATTCACAAAAATCCTTTCAAGTTTTAAAGAGTTTGGGCAAGAAGCCCTCTATCCCCACTTTGAAGGTTGAAAACAATAGGGAGAAAGTAGAGGATATTGTAGAGGTTTATTTACAGCTTCCTGGCATCCCTGTAATCCTTTAGTAGGGCTTTACACTACCTACATACACTTGCCTTTTCACTGTATCGCATTATGAGGCTGAGTTCATCTGGTAGTTTTCTCAGTGTCCTATGAGTTGAGGGTTGCCATGTTCCTGCTATGCATCCCTGTTGTTATTGTCAGAAAAAGAATTTCTTACGGGAGAAGGAAAACAAATCTCCAAACTACGCCCCCACATGTATACCGATTTCCTGAGAATGAGGACTTCACTTCTGAGAGGGAGCAAACAGGTGATGAAAAGATGACCAAAGTTTTTCTCCAACTTTTGAGTTTTTACCACTGTCAAAAGTCATTAGAATAGAACAGGGGTCTCCAAACTTTTCAGCCCGAGGGCCGCATTAACTATCAAACAGCAGTTCGGGGGCCGACTACACACTTGAGGTCCAAATAAAAAACAATCAAAACATGGATGTTGTTTTTAATTATTTATTTAATATTATTTTATTCAGTTATTATTTAATAACACATTGATACACTACACATGAACACCTGTATTAGTGTGAATGGTGAAATTGTTTCCTGGATGCCAAAATAGCAGACATTTCTGGCTTTAGAAATCACTGTTTGAAATTGGGGGTGGTGCTTGTCCTAGTCCTGCAGGAGGGGCTCCAGAACGGGGAAACTGCTGAGAACTCATTTCCACCTGCGCAATGTGATGAAAATTGTAAGCAACATAATCCTGGCAATATGTTCAGCCTAAGACACTCACACTTGAAGAGATGTGATCGCTCTCCTATCATGCAGGGAATGAGGTGACAATTTGTAACATAGCCCCATGGAACAAGGGGCATGCATTTTAATGGGAAAAATAGAAGATTAACTTCTACCTTTTCTTCTACTTAATGGAACTTCTAACTATTTTTAAGTTTGCCCATAGCTATTTCACCTTGCCTGTTGTTTTTGCCTAAAAGAATAAATCCTCTCTATTTCCCTTGATGCTTAATATCCTAATTGGAGTAGCAGAAAGTGATGGTCTGAATTTGATTACTGACTCACAGCATGCCAGGATTATAGCAAGATATTGATTACATAAAATGATGTGATTCAGTCTACTACTTGGCTATGCAGAACTAGATCCAATGAAGTGATGAAATAATGTCTGTAAAGCATTTGTTTGGAAGGGCTTAGCGTTTTTCATTGGTGTCTTGGAGTATTTAATGTATGATATGTTCCAACAGAGTGACAGAAAGGTAAAAGATGGCAAAGGAACTGGTCCAAAAAAAAGGTCTTCATGTCTAGTTTCATACATATTGTTCCTCCATAAAGACTCCTTTCTGCTGTGCTACTTCTGGTGAAGCCAGAGTTGAGCCTCTGGTGAAGACTTATATACAAAATTGCTACATTATTTCACTTTCCATAAAATTTGTTATCTTGACTGTCTTCAGAATGTGAGTTCCTCAGACCAAGCCTGTCCTTTCTTGAGTATGAGGAAAGCTGAAATCTGAATCAAGAGACCTAGATTCTATTCCTAGCTGTGTTACTTTAGGCAAGTCAATGTCAGCTCTCTGATTTTTCTCCCTCCTCTTACCCTTTATCCATATTATAGGCTATTTGAGGCCATGATTGTCTCACACTGACTTTATATAATTTTTAACACAAATAATATGTTTTAGTTTCTGAGATGTCAAGAAGCATTTGGACACAGGCTCATATTTTCACTGACTCGTGGGAAAGGCTGCAGAATGAAATATAGGACGTTAAAGACTAAATCATCATGTCTAATAAAAAGCATGGTTACTATATAGCTGTTTTAAATTCCCAGGATAGAATTATAGATAATTATAATGGAATACATTTTTCTTCCCTTCTTTCCTCATTCAGCCAAACTCCTCTTGAATCTGTCCTTTCCTACAGATACCCTTCAATAGTATACTAGTACAGGCAGGACCTCCCTAGTCCAGCAAGGTTGGGACCTGACCAGTCCCAAACAACAGAATTTACTGGACCAGTGGAGGTATCCCCTGCCACAGGCCCCGAGCTAACCGCCCCCTGCCTCTGGCCCCCTTTATCCTCTCCCCCACTCTGCTGCCACCAGCCCCCAGCTGCCTTTAGTGGCTGGGGTTCTCTGGCGCTGGCCCACCCTGTCATGTGCAGCCAGATTTCCCCAGCCCAGTGCTGCTGCGGGTGGTGAAGCTTCTCCAACACCTGACCCCACACTGCCGCAGGCATCTGGGATTCTATTGCTGCAAAGCATCTTGCTAACCCCGAAGAACTGCGTGCAGCCAGCATGTAGGAGGTTCCTCACCCATGGTGGAAAGGAACAGTCTGTGGTTCCTTGTTAAGGCAGTAGAGCAATCCAGGAGCACACCTTTGACTGGTTATATCTGGTTAAATAGTCTATACTTCCCAGTATGGAGGTGTCTTCCCAGTTTTTTTCAGTCTGACCTGAGAGAGGCCGTCTCAGATGTAATCTATACCAGGCATGGTGACACCCACCTTAAAACTCTCATTTGCCATGACACACACTGTCATGAAATCAGAGAAAAATGATTATGAAGCTGGTGTGTTGAGATCACTGCTTCTCATGCTGGCCAGTATTGTTTCATTGCTTCCTTGTGCTCCTCCATCTGTTTATATCCACCTGTTGACTTTTGTCTTTATATTTTGGTTGTAAGATCTTAGGGAAGGTCAGATTTTTTATTTTATATTTGTACGGTGCCTACTGTAAAGGGGACTTAATTGCAGCTCCTAGATGCTACAGCAATTCAGCTAATTCAAATATTAAATATTGGTATAAAAATTATTTATTTTACTTATTTGAATGGCAAGATTGTTGACTGTTTTCAGATACATTTCTTTTTCACAGAGAAATAAGTAGACAGTATTATAAATTATATTTTTGAAATCTTGTTTCCTTATATTTCTTAGATAGAATGGCTCTATTTTATATTTTGCATGTGACCTGCCCTCTAACAATCTTCAAATTAAAATATTGTTTTCTGATTCCTGGAATCAGAAAACTTTCTTTAAATATCATCAGACGCTGAGTCAGATCATGTGCAGAATTTATAACTGTATATTAGTGGTTTGGATGTCTAATTAGAAATGTGTTACTGATACTGATGTACAAGTAAATGGAAAATTTAGCTTTTCCAGAATCTTGGCACTCCAAAATATTTGTTCCCTAATGACATGATGTTAACAAAGAGGATCTTCCACTCATTACAGTAAAAACCCCTGTTCTGATTTGCAGATGTTTCCACTTGTTTTAATTAATTTTTCCCCTCCTTTGAGCAGAGATTAGCATAAATTAGAATATCTTTCTGTTATAATGAACACTTATGTCTATATGGTGTAATATAGGTGTCCATGACAGCAATAGCTTTATCAAACTGAACAGGAAAAAACAAATACCGTTCGTAACTACTTTCGAGCAGTTACTTGACTCACATATCACTACAGAAGATTCTTTGTACTTGTCATAATTTAAAATGACAACTTCATTTCTTCTTAAATGGCTGTCTTTAAAGAAACTAAGAGCTTTTGTCTGCTTTGCTGAAAAACCACTATGCATCTGTGTCAATAGCTTTTGTTAGTGTCATCACAACTCTATCTTTCGTTCACCAGTTACTCTTACAATATTAAACTTGCCCCTCACCTAAACTACTCTAATTTTATACTAATAGAAATGTAGCCGTGTTAGTCTGGTGTAGCTGAAGCAAAATACAGGACTATGTAGCACTTTAAAGACTAACAAGATGGTTTAATTTTATACAACATTTTTCAACAATCTTTGACTTTAAGATAGTGGTAATAATCTTAATTTCCTCAAAATACTCTGTTGTTGAATCTTTCTGAAATTAAAGGTGAAGGGTCTATTTGTATGACCTTTAATTATCCTGGGAAGTAATTTTTTTAACTCCAGCTATACTATATACTCCTGAGGATGTGACATGGGCTGCAGCTCTGTGATGATTGGGCTGCAAGTGGCCTGCAGGCTGATAATGACTAGGTAGGTCCTATACGCAGTCCAAAGATGACTGCAAGGAGTTAGAGAGAACTAATTAAACTGGATGCTTGGACAGCAAAATGGCAGATGAAAGTCAAGTAAGGCACATTGGAAAACATAACCCCAACTACACATACAAGATAAAGGGGCTAAATTAGTGGTTACTACACAAATTGATCTTGGAGTCATTGTGGATAATTATCTGAAAATACCAGCTTGATGTACAGTGGCAGTCAAAAAAGCGAACAATGTCAGGAACCGGGGTGCCTTATTAGATTTTGATAAGGAGTGCAACCATAATGTGGGGGGTAGTAGTAACTAGACTCTTGAAAACTCTACTTTTTGCAGATAACTGAGCAATGCACTGTCAGGAGCCCTGTATCTATTTCCAATATGAAAAAAAGAAAATTAAATATATATTGAACGCAGTCAGCTCTAATAAAAGCAGCAACGTTGGTCCTATGCATTTGGGGATCAGAGAGTCCCCATTTAAGGTGGTATGACCTGTGTATGAGAATTGGAAAAGGTATA